CACCTCATGGGAGCCTGTTAAGAAAAAAAAAGGTGTCTCGTGGTACTAGATGGAAGAAAAAAGCCTTGTATTGTTGAGATTCTTTTCAGTTTGTGTGTGTTCTCGTGTAGAGGCGGTGGTCCAGCCAGGTCTTATGACACCGCTGGGATTCAAGCTGAGCAACATGCTGAGCCTCATCAGAATGTGTGGTGGTGTCGGCGTGGGCGTGTAGAGGCCGGTTAAACCGCAGCTCACCGACAGCAGTCTCTGTTCCTCACTTGGTTTCTGTTTACTAGTATTCCTGTTTTCTCTGCCTCTCCTGTCTTTCCTCAACCTTCACGTCAGTACGCTTCAGTTTATTTAGCCTTTATTTAATCAAATACACAAATTTAAATATTTTTTCTGAGACCATAGAGTAAAACTGCAGCAATTAACTTGACAGAGACAGTATCAATTAGTCGAGCTACGGCTACATGACTGAAAAGCATGAAAAAATATTTCACACAAAACAAATTGGAAACAGTGAAAGATGGTGTTGCTGTGGACTCGCTGAGAGGACAATGTAAAAAAAGTGCTGTGTACCGTTTTCGGTTTGGTAAATAATGGTAGTACTAAAAACTGTTTTCATACGACACCATAGGCTGTGACAAACACCCAGAAAAAATGATTTGCTTGCGGCATCAAAACCAGTGACAGCAGTAGATTCAAAGCTTTCCAGCTCTGTAGTTAAAATCAAATGTTAAACCCTCTGGAAATTTAGATTGAAATAGTAAAAATGCATTTGTGATCTCACAGTTCAGAGCCTCATTAATCATCACAGAAATCAAAGTGAGGGGAAGAAAGTCCAGAAATATTGAGAAAACCTAGTTTAAAATCGGCTTATTTTACTGATTTAAAGTGCCTACATATCATAGCAACACTGGATCACCTTAAATAGACACTCACCAGCCACTTTGTTGGGTACTCAGATTCAACTGCTTGTTAATGCGAATATCTTATCAGCCATCATTGCGTGGCAGCAACTCGGTGCATTTAGACGTGTAGACACGGTGAAAACAACCTGCTGAAGATCAGAAACAGGGAGCAAGGTGATTGAAGCTGGTCTGAATATTTTAGAAAAAGTTGATCTGCTGGGATTTTCCCACACAACCATCTCTACAGGGAGTGCAGAATTATTAGGCAAGTTGTATTTTTGAGGGATAATTTTATTATTGAACAACAACCATGTTCTCAATGAACTCAAACTCATTAATATCAAAGCTGAATGTTTTTGGAAGTAGTTTGTAGTTTGTTTTTAGTTTTAGCTATTTTAGGGGGATATCTGTGCGTGCAGGTGACTATTACTGTGCATAATTATTAGACAACTTAACAAAAAACAAATATATACCCATTTCAATTATTTCTTTTTACCAGTGAAACCAATATAACATCTCCACATTCACAAATATACATTTCTGACATTCAAAAACAAAACAAAAACAAATCAGCGACCAATATAGCCACCTTTCTTTGCAAGGACACTCAAAAGCCTGCCATCCATGGATTCTGTCAGTGTTTTGATCTGTTCACCATCAACATTGCGTCCAGCAGCAACCACAGCCTCCCAGACACTGTTCAGAGAGGTGTACTGTTTTCCCTCCTTGTAAATCTCACATTTGATGATGGACCACAGGTTCTCAATGGGGTTCAGATCAGGTGAACAAGGAGGCCATGTCATTAGTTTTTCTTCTTTTATACCCTTTCTTGCCAGCCACGCTGTGGAGTACTTGGACGCGTGTGATGGAGCATTGTCCTGCATGAAAATCATGTTTTTCTTGAAGGATGCAGACTTCTTCCTGTACCACTGCTTGAAGAAGGTGTCTTCCAGAAACTGGCAGTAGGACTGGGAGTTGAGCTTGACTCCATCCTCAACCCGAAAAGGCCCCACAAGCTCATCTTTGATGATACCAGCCCAAACCAGTACTCCACCTCCACCTTGCTGGCGTCTGAGTTGGACAGGAGCTCTCTGCCCTTTACCAATCCAGCCACGGGCCCATCCATGTGGCCCATCAAGACTCACTCTCATTTCATCAGTCCATAAAACCTTAGAAAAACCAGTCTTGAGATATTTCTTGGCCCAGTCTTGACGTTTCAGCTTGTGTGTCTTGTTCAGTGGTGGTCGTCTTTCAGCCTTTCTTACCTTGGCCATGTCTCTGAGTATTGCACACCTTGTGCTTTTGGGCACTCCAGTGATGTTGCAGCTCTGAAATATGGCCAAACTGGTGGCAAGTGGCATCTTGGCAGCTGCACGCTTGACTTTTCTCAGTTCATGGGCAGTTATTTTGCGCTTTGGTTTTTCCACACGCTTCTTGCGATCTTGTTGACTATTTTGAATGAAACGCTTGATTGTTCGATGATCACGCTTCAGAAGCTTTGCAATTTTGAGACTGCTGCATCCCTCTGCAAGATATCTCACTATTTTTGACTTTTCTGAGCCTGTCAAGTCCTCCTTTTGACCCATTTTGCCAAAGGAAAGGAAGTTGCCTAATAATTATGCACACCTGATATAGGGTGTTGATGTCATTAGACCACACCCCTTCTCATTACAGAGATGCACATCACCTAATATGCTTAATTGGTAGTAGGCTTTCGAGCCTATACAGCTTGGAGTAAGACAACATGCATGAAGAGGATGATGTGGACAAAATACTCATTTGCCTAATAATTCTGCACTCCCTGTAGTGTTCAAAGGGAAGGGTTTGAATAGAGAAAATATCCAGTGAGCTGCAGTTACTTTGGTGAAAAAGCCTTATTGATACTAGAGGTCAGAGGAGAATGCATTCTCAAATAACCACTAGTTGCAACCAAGGTTTGCAGAAGAGCATCTCTGAATGCTAAAAGCATCGTAACTTGAAGCAGATGGGCTACAGCAGCAGAAGACCACACCGAGTGCCACTCCTGTCAGCTGAGAACAAAAAACTGAGGCTACAATTCAGGCTCACCAAAATTAGACAACAAAAGATTGGAATAACCTTATTTGTCATGAGGTTTATTGATTTCTGCATCAGCAGGTGGACGGTAGGGTTAGAATTTGGCTAAAACAACGTGAAAGCCTGCCCGAGTACTGCTGCTGATTATGCCGATCCCTTTATGACTGCAATGCACAATCTTCTGATAGTTCAAAAAGTTCAAATCATCTCAAGCTGGTTTCTTGAACGTGACAGTGAGTTCACTGCACTGAAATGCCCTCCACAGTCACCAGATATGAATCCAGCAGAGCACCTTTGGGATATGTTGGAACAGAAGATTCACATAATTCATGTCAGTTGAGTTTCTAGCACCTCGTTGAATTCATACCACAAAGAATTATGGCAGGTCTGAAGAAAAAACTTGGTACCAGCAAGGTGCAACTTACAAAGAAACCAGGAAGTGCAATTTATTAATGGCATGTTTACATTCTGCCTCATTTCCAACTTCATGTTCGGGACTCAGGAGGAGGGGAAAGAAGGCGCAGCTGCAATACAGATAACCTTGCATAATGTATACTTTCCTGGGTAAAACTATTTAATTGGTCTTTGGTTAAATGAGTATGCCAAGAGTGGGAGTTTTTTCTTTTTTTTAACGATCGTCCACAAAACATGAATTCCCTGCTGATTTTCTATGTAGAAAATAGAAATAAAAATAAAAGACTTGGGTCAAGTAGAGGTAAAAAATGTAAACAAAAGGCCGACATGTTGTCAAACTTTAATGGCTAATGTGCCATCAGAGACAGCACAATCAATAACAGTGGGGCAAGGAAAGAAAAAAGAAGTGTACAGTTTGGTGACAAAAAATATATCCGTATAAAATGTTTTATGCTTTTTTGCTATCAGCTCAAATGCAACTTGACACTGATTTTTAGTTGATGTATTTTAAATGTGTGTTAAAGCAAATTTTGATGACTATCGTGTACAGACGAGCTGGATTATATAGACGGAAGGCATCTGAGTTTACACTTGCTTGAAGTGCGATCAGTGCACTGTGTGAGCTGACAGAGAAGGTGGTTTTTTGAAAGCTTAATACATCCAGCCGGTTGCCTGATTTATTTATTTTTGAAGTTATGATGAATAAAACGGTGATATTGGGAAACTCTGCCACGTAGAAACTCTGTTTGAAATGTGAAAAAGTAGACTTTGTTTTGTTTTTCATTGTGCTCATTACTTAAGAAAACCATCCTGCAATGTTAAAATGAAGGTCATCTTGTGTTTTCTGTTTTCCTAACTGAAAGAAAGAGACTCCTCAGTAGAAGAGTACAGCCACAGACATGTTGCTCTATAGTTACAAGCTTTTGGATTTGCTTAGAGCACTTAAATAGAAGCTGTTTGGAGTCCAGAAGCAATGGCTAAAATACAAGAGGTGTTCCATTTAGCTGCGTCAATTAGACTTATGGTGTTACTGCCATGTTCCTGTACATGAACACAAAGAAACATTCAATATTCATTTGGAGCACGGCTAACCTGCATCACCTGGAAGGCTGGTAATCTTCTTCAAGCCCTCGAAGCCCACTCATCGCTTCATGTAGGATGTTCACGGTTTATTTTATCCGGAGATAAAATGGATGGCAATTTCCAAAATTGCACCTCTATGCTAAACAGAATATCAAACCACAAATGTATCCACTGTTGGCCTCTTGGTGTGCACCAGCAGTTCTGGTCATCCACTCTTCTGATGATGGGCACGTTTTATCATACTATCAACATGGATAGATCTAAAGATTATAGTGTTGGTGCTAGTTGGCACAGAAAGTGCACTACTTTTCAGCTGATCAGGAACACTGTTTACAGTAAGCATCATTTTTCAGGCTTTTGTCAGGGGATATAAAACATGTTTTATAAGGACTTTAATGTTAACAGTAGAGTTTATTAATAATATTTAAAATAGTTCCCTGATAAAAACTATAAATTTTAACTGTATTTTATTTGCAGTTGTCCTGTTACCTTTATTTCACAGTAGCTTCATACCTTTGACACTGTGTAAAGAATTCTTTCCTCCCATCTCTGCAGATGTGATTCACACAGTGGGGCCGATTGCACAAGGCGGAGTTGGAGAGGAGGAGAAGAACGCGCTAAGATCGTGCTACAGAAACAGCCTCGAGACGGCGACCGAAAATGGTGCTCGTTCTGTGGTGAGAATGAATTTGAGACAGCAATTTGAACTGATGCTGAAAACGGGGTAACGCAGGAGGATTGAGAGGTCAGGTTAAAAGTAAAAGAAGGTAAAGAAAAAGAAGCACTGAAGACTGTGACACACGAATAAAGAAGAAATCAAAAGAAGCGAATACAAAAGAAGCATTGGTAGGAAGAAAAAAAGGACGGGTGAAGCAGTCATGACTGTATGACAGGGTGCTATAGTTAAAAAAGAAACCCAAGCCAGAAAAAATGATCGCATTGGATTTTTCAAAGAATACAGTGTTCAAACTGAGATGGATGGAGGAAGGGGAAAAGAGGTAGGAGTGTGAGTTGTAAGAAGGTAGCATGAAACACACCAGGCATGAGGTTTCACAGAGAATGAAGTGTTAAAGCCAAAGAAAAGCACCAAAGCAACATGAAAACAAAGTCAGAGGTGCAATTGAAGAAAACAGGAGCATGGAAGCAGTGTGAAGATTCATGCAGAACATTAGTAGCTTCGCTAGTAAAGAACAGGATTTGAAACAGACTTAAATGCATCAGTTGCAGGATTTTTTTTTTAACCGAAGTTTTCATAGCAACAGCAATTTTCACAAAACTTCAAATTATTTGTTTATTGTAGGTGTCAGAGAACCTGTGAGGCATAGTTGCCTTCACCCTGAGTCTTAAGCTGTGCAGTCTGGTTAAATGAACAGATCTGGAGACCTGGGGAGCATCCAGACATCTGCTTGTACTGGCATATTTGACAACAGGTTGGAAATCTGCCAGACTTGAAGTTTACTGGCTGCTTGACTCAAAGGAGAACCAGTGGTGTTGCACAGACTTGGCAAACACGGACCTCACTGACTAACAGTTATAATCCTTTTGATTTTTAATATGTATTTATTTCTGTTAATAGCTGCATTTACCTTCTGCTGTGGTCTCTTCTTGTCATTGTTTTTTCATTGCTGGTGAGTCTGCCAGCAATGTAAGCAAAATCACCTACAGTGCAGGAAATAATGCATGACTTAAATGTAACTGTTGGCTCTGCTGCAACTTTATACTAAAGTACAAGTCGACATTGTTCCAGTCTGTCTTAAAAACATCCGCCTGCTTATGCTTGTCTGCTTGTCCAATTTAAGAAAAAAAAAGTTTTTGGTTTTGGCAGTTGTCCTGCGGTCCAAAGCAGCTGCAAAGACATGCCTCTTTCAATCAGATGCAATCTAAGTACTGCGGAGACAAAATCCCCAGTTGTCTTTGTGCTGTGAAAAAATGCTTTCAAAGCTAATCTGAAGTGATTAATTGGGCAACTTAGAGAAACTAAATCCAAGGTTAAATACTTTCAGTACCAAATTACCTATTTTACCTTGCCGAGATGCAAAAGAGGGAATGTGGTGCTAAATAGACTTTAAACAATTCCCTCGCTCACATTCGCTTTGTCGGGAACCTGAAATAATGAATCTGCTGCAGATTTTTTGCAGCTATTGTTAATAATGAGTGCAGACGGGTGAGGACAGGTGAGAGAGATGGAATAAAACGATGATTCAAACTGGAAATGTCATGGTTCATAGCCCACGTGTTAACTCACAAGAGGATGGTTTTTAAGACAACACAGACAACACAGTTAAAGGCATTCAGCTGCCAGAACACGGCAACACTTACTGTGTAAAAAGCAGTGTGAGCTCTTAGAAGAGGGTGACAACTCTGTTTACCTGTTAACTTTTACCTGTTTGTCCTGTTGTTTGGGAAGGATCTCCCACTCAATCACAGCATTGGTGGGGAAAAAAGCCCATTTAGCGTTGTAATTGTGTCATATTAGTTTAATACAAGCCCACAATCTGTCTAGCACTGCAGCAAGTCTTCCATTCAAAGCTTCATTTTCACCAGCATCATTAAAAAGTAGCTGTTGCAAAAATGCACCAATTCCACAAAATCGTGGACACAAGAAGTTTTTTAAGTTCTTTTCCTAAAGTATACCGGTAATAGCTTACGGTATAAAGTGATTGTTTCCTCAGTGGCTGTCTGTATACCCACCATCGTAATTACTGTAATGATGTCTGATTAGTGTTACTAGCACGGCCGAAGCTGACGGAAGAATTCTTCCCTGCTCGGCCTCGTCAGCAAAGGATGATCAACAGTTTGGTCTTTAAATAGATGTGAAAGTCAGAGGCTGAAGAAAGGCTGCCATAAAAAACAATCAAGAGAAAGACTCCATCGGGATCCAGCAGAGAGTGTGATTTCTGTGCAGTGCTACGTGTGTGTACGTGTATGGCTGCCTTTGTGAGGACCAGTTTGTTGTAGACCTTGAAAGTGAGGAGATTTGGGGAAAGTTGCTTTTTGACACATCGTCAAAGGTTTAGACCCGGATTTAAGCTTCAGGTTTAGCGTCAGGTTTGAGTTATGTTAAGGGTTGCTTCTAGGGCTTTGGTTTATGCTAGTTAAGGTTAAGTAGAGAGGATAGGCCATGCATTATGTCACCGAGTGTCCTCAGAAGGATAGACATACAGAGAGTGTGTGTGATGATGATGATGAGCTCTTCAGAAAGTTGTCAGATCTTTTAAAATTTTCCCCATTTTGATGTGTTTCATGCTCTTCTTCAGTTCATGTTCTCTCATCAGTCTGCACACAGTACTCCACAATGTCAAAGCAAAAACAAGGTTGTAAAGTGTGTGTATGTTTTTAATTAAAAGAGTGAGTCTTTTTTTCCATTTTGTTTGGAGCCTTTGTCATGATACACGTAATTAAGCATCCCACGTCTATCAGTGATCCTTGAAATGCCTACAGCATGATCTGTCTTTTTGAAGTCATTGGACAAAATCAGGAAATATATACACATACCAGTTAAAATAAAGTTTCCAAAGATCTGCGAGATGGGTTTTTGTTTTTTTGTCTTTTAAATGATCACTTTTCGATGTAGTTTTTGTGCTAAAGCACTGTCAGGGTGCATTTGGTTGAATTTGGTTGAAAATGAAAGAAATCTGGAACCACCAATACTCATCCTGTCAAAATCAGGAATAGGGGAAGAAGGCATTGCGTGAACAGGTAACCAATAATTCAAAGGTCATGATAATTAGGATCCAGAGTTCCTTTATGGAGATTAGATGTGTCTAAAAGAAGGGCAGCCTTTGATGATGCGTTCTAGCTGTCAGGCCTTTATGGTGGACAGACTGCTTTGTCAGATACCTGACTCTTATACTTCTGGTCTGATGAAATAAAGATTGAACTCTTAGGCCACAATTCCCCACGCTTTGTGTGCAGGAAACCGGACACTGAGCATCGCCTAATTAATACCATTCCTACAGTCAAACACAGTAATGGCAGCAGAAGATGGATGCAAAAAACACAGAGCAATACTGAGTGAAAACCTTTTCCACAATAAGATTTCAGACTCAGGCAGAAGTTTACATCTTAGCAAGAATATAAAGCACATTACCAAGTAAACTCAGCTCTGGTGTGGGAAAGTCAACCAAAAGTCTGGACCTGAAGGAGCATCCCAGGAGACACTTGAAAACGCCTGTGCACCACTGCTTCCCGTTAAGCTTCGCTGAGCATGAGAGATTCTGTCAAAATGAAAAGGAGCTTTGGAAAAGAAAAGCATGCCATACTTGTGGGATTATTCCCAAGAACTCATAATGCATTGCTGCAAAAGGTGATTTAGCAAAGTACTGAATCTACTGTCTGAACACGTATGTAAAAGGAGCGTTTGATTTCTAAATGATTTTGCTTCATCATTATCATGTGTTGTGTTTAAATTGGAGGGTGGATTGATTGAATGCATTAGAACATAACAGAGTGACACAAGGAGCTGATAAATGTTTTAAATGTGACCTGCGGCACATTGTAACTTGGTTTTTCCTCTTCACTCTGCAGGCTTTCCCTTGCATCTCAACTGGAATCTACGGTTAGTGCCTTCATGTGTGTGTCTCCTCTGTTCCTACACTTTGTGTTTGTGTGTCAGTTTTCTATCATTTATTTCACATTTATTGATCACCAACAATACTTCCTCTCTGCTGTCTTCATTCACTGTACACGCTGTGTGCTCTCCATCACACGCTTGTCAGTCTGCCTGTTTGACCAGAGCGCCGAGCCTCCGGGTGCCGCTTGTCAAATGATCTCCCCCGACCCAGAGGTGGTTCTCAGATTAACGCCTTGGATTAAGAGCGGCAGATTAAGATAGATTAGGCCGGAGATTGTGTTATATTGACTGTAATCCTCTTCACGCTGGCAGGAGAGAGTCAAGGATAGTGCTTAAACACACCCCAGGGTGGCTTTGCTGTGAGGGCTAGTTGTTGACACCTCTCTGTCATTGCTGGAAAGAGGAAAAGGCTAAATTCCCAGTTGACTCCAGGTTGTCTTCCTCCCTGTTCTGCTTGTTTGTCATTGTCCCGCTGTTTCTTTCCTCTTGAGTGTTTTGTAGGTCAGGGTGTTGAAGCAGTAACACAAATTATGTAACTTTAGGAGGTATAAGCAGCTTGTGTCTCTACAGACAGACGGCTGCAATTGAAAACAAATCTGCCATCTTTAAGCCATAGTTCCACACAGAAAACATACCAGCGTATGAGTATCATTTTTGTTTTTCCCAATTTCGTTAGATTACAGAGTGTATAAAACACTGATGAGGAGCAGTTAATGCTTTAATAGGAATTAAGTTACAGCTCTAAAATATGAGACCATTCTTTAAAAATGATACTCATACGCTGGTATGTTTTCTGTGTGGAACTATGGCTTAAAGATGGCAGATTTGTTTTCAATTGCAGCCGTTTGAAACTGAATAAATCACTGAACTCTCCTACTGCTAAACCAGACAGATTACTTTTACATGCAAAGAAAAACAAAAGTACCAATCGAAAGCTCAGACACACCTGAGGGCAGATATGTTTCTAATTATTTGTGCGTCACAGTATCAGAACATTTTATGTTTAATAAGATAACGTGATGCACAAATGCACAAAATTACACTCTTTTGATTGTTGTACAGAGTGAGCATGAAGCCAGTGTGATTAAAAAAAAAAAGTAAATTTCTTAAAATATGTTGAAAATTTATGAGAATATCAGTGATGTTTGCTTTGGAAGATCAATCGTTTAGTGGCTTTACAGGTGCGTCTGTGGTTTAGTTTTCTTCTCACTGGCTATTGATGATTCATCGCAATCGTTTATTTACTAGTAGAATAATCCAGGACCCCAATACACATATGTGGTACAATTTCCTGGATCAGCATTAGAAAGAAAGCTCAACCTACTGTGTTGTAGGTCACTGACGAATTCAGCAGATGTTGTTTTGTTTTTAAAAAAATGTAGAAATCAATTAAAAATAAAGAAATGCTCTTCAATGATTGAGTGTGCCTAAACTTTTCACTGGTATTGCATGTAAATATAAACCAATCAGTAGAAATCAGGACAGACGTAATTCAGCTCTACGGGACTTTTTATGGGCTGTTTCCACAGGATCTTACACTTTTCATGACTGATCCTCTGTGGTTATTACCAAAAACTGCCCTGATCCTTTAAGTCAATTTGACATTTCAAATTTGGTGCTTATTATGTTGACATTGTGGCTTGTTTTTCAGACCCATATGGACACAAATTACATTAATTTGACACCCAGCAGCCACCTTGTGAATCCTGTGTTGCATCCTGTTTTGTCTGCATATCAGTCATAAGTCTTTGTGCCATAGATCCAACAAGGTGCTGGAAACATTCCTCAGATGTTTTGGTCCATATTGACATGATCGTATCACACAGTTAGTGCAGATTTGTTAGGTACACGTCCATGATGTCAGTCCCTCTGTTCAACTACATCCCAAAGGTGCTCTATTGGATTGAGATCGGAGAGCCCCTGCGAATTGTAGTGTGAGTTTGCTGTTCTTTGCTTGCAGGAGTTGTGGCATTTCCACCCAGAGAACTGCTGCTCACTTGATCTTTTTCTCCTTTAGACCATCCTTTGAAAACTTTAGCGATGGTGGTGTGGGGAAATCTCAGTAGATCAGCAGTTTCTAATTCTAATGCTTGGTATTGAACTTCAGCAGGGTGTCTTCACCTATAAAGCTAAATGCATCGAGTCGCTGCATTTACATTGACTGATTAGATATGTGCTGAACAGATGTACCTAATAAAGTGGCTTAGTTGGCTGAGCTTTTTTTTTTCCTGTGCGAATTTGCACAGATTTGCTCAAAATCATCCTCTAATATTTAACAGCACTGCTGTAAGCTGCACATTTTCTCTGCCTCCTCCAGCACTAGCACTAGCCTTGCTGACAACCTGTGGTGCTGTTTACATCATATGCAATGAATGCACTCAGTGGCAACTATTCAAAACAATCAGTGTGCTCAGTGAACAGCTCTGCTCACGCCATTGTATTTTTCAGTCTTTATTTCAGTATTTTATGCGTGGATGTAACATATACATTTAAAATTAAAATTATAAGGGTTGAAATATTGAATTAAAGAGTGAAGCAGGTCTCAATCGGTCCAAATAAACAGAAAAAGGAGTGAAAACACCTGTGCAGATGGAGTGAGGCCACTTGAATTAGATGCACATGTCAATCAGTAAAATGTTTTATATAACAAGCCATAGTGGCATAGGGGCACATATTAACATATTATATTATATTACATTTTCTTCAGTGCATTTGTTTTAGTGCTCTAACAAATTGTATGTTGCTAATTTGTACCGTCGCGTATTCCCCTGTGCTAACACGCTGAACCATCTCCTAATGTATAATCACATAGTGTTTGTTTGGGTTGAGCAGTTTGACCAGATGATGAGTTTTCATTGCCTTTGTGCTGCTTTACCAGCGCTGGGTATAATTTTCCAGCAGTGAAAGGTCTCAGCTGCTCAATGAATATAGAAGAAGAAAAGCAGCCTTTCTCCATCTGTCTCCTCGTAACCAACAAGTGTGTTGTGTCTGCGTCTCGCTGGAATAACTGAGTCGGGATCAGACGACGTGAGAGGAGTCAGGACGGGGAGTGTTAGAATAGTGGAAAGAAGAACAGAAAGCACCGAAGACAACAGCACAACGCAAGCACACAGATCTCTCTCTGCACCTGTTCTCGAAAACTGTGTGTGTATTTTTGATGTCACTTGCGCGTGTGTGTTTGTGTTTCTGTAGGATATCCATCTGAGCGGGCTGTGCACGAGGCGTTAAAAACTGTGAGGGACTACCTCGATGCACATCATGACAAGGTGGGTATGTGTTTGTGTTTGCGCCTGCATGATTGGCAAATTTTCCCCTACCCTTTCCTCCAGGTATTATTTCTCTCACAGCTGTTGTTTTTGTTTTCGGGCGATACGAGGAAAAGGGTGCATTGAGAAAACACACACAATCAGACACACAAAAAATATTTTTGAACACACACCCAAGTTCTGCCTCTCTCATGCTCATGGCCAAGTCTGCGTTTTAATTGGCTCCTTGCGGGACCAAACCCGACTAACACAAACACACAGGCACGCACACACTTTCTCTCTCAGGAGAAACGCCAAGCGGAGAAAAGACAAAATGATGGAATAGATGACTGGAGGGGAGGGACGGAGGAAGAGATTGGAAAAGGCGGAAACTTTCCAATCAGTCATTGACAAGCCCTAAACTCTCCTCCCTTTTTCCCCTCCTTTACTTCTCTGGTCTCCTCCCACTTCTCTTTTTCCATCTTTGAAGCCTCGCTGTTACCGCCGTCCTGCACGGCCTCCCAGAGAGGGTGCTGATGATGTTATTGTTAGCTCTGACATCTCCAGAGTCTCTGTAGCAATACCGGTCGACTGATGCCATCAGCCGCTCTGTGCATAGCAAATGAACTCAAATCATTGCATTTCTCACCAGACTGGACAACAGACAGCAAGCCTCGAATGTCAGTAAATAAGACCAGAAGGCCAAATCAACAAAATTATTTATATTCTGCCCACAACTACTTCCACTCTGCTTTTAAGGGGGAAAAAAATATTGAAGGCGACCACATAAATATAAAGAGAGAATGTTTACCAGAGGAAATTGGGTTTATTCATTAATTGAAAAGTTTTATGGGGTTTTGTCGAGCGTGTTTTGGCTCTGAGCGCTTTAATGTTGAAATGAAATTGAAAACTGCAAACATAGTAAGGTGCAAAATGGACTCAAGACACGGGTCAGTATGCCTACATTCTGCATCAAATGTAATAAAAATCGAATCATTTATGTGCAGAAAACATACCAGTTTTAAAATGTAACTGCTGTTGTTGTTGTTTTGTTTTTTGGGGGACCGGGGGGGTCTCGAATTAGACTCAGAGTCAACTAGAGAGTCTCATCAAATCCTTTTAGCAGCTCTTCTGGCTTTTTATTCATAATCACGAGCTTCTTCAGCAGATTGAGCTTTTTAGTTGCATTGAGCTGCAAAGCCCCACCCTACTCTTACAATTTAATTACACTTCTGCATTATGTCTATGGGGTAACTTGCGTCATAGCTGGAACCCCATTTTAACCCTACGCCGCAATCTTCTGCATAACCTGACGTGCACCTCGCTAGAAATGTAACCACGCGTTGGGTTGGGATCAAAGGAGCTTCCGGTTACTGCACAAGTTAGGATGTAAATTTCCCACAGAAGTCTAAATTAAACGTTAGCAGCAGTGTGTGATACTGCAAAACCAAGTAAATACAGAACCAATATCACTGATATTTTTAAACTCTAAAGGCGGCTTATGTACAGGAGAGCAATACAAGATGATTTATGAATTTAATGTACCAAACTTGGAGAGAAACATATTAAAGTATCAGTCCTATCACATCATTAGGGATCCAATGTCAATGTTGGCATCAATACAATCGATCTGCTCTCCCCTAACTCTTGGGGTGTCGTCACACCTGTAACGGTTTTTAATCTGTTCAAATCAAATTATTCCCCCACTTGGTGCCGTTTGTTTCTGCAGCTGTAAACACAGCAATCACATTCAGACACAGACCAAAACAACAACAGTTCTGGTTAAAGTTGGTCTCATTATAAATGACTTCAAAGTGGTTCCTTTAAGGACATGGTCCAGTCCAACTACCAAGTGTACACTGCAGGCTTCAACACCTTCCTCTAGCTGGGTTTGCTTTGCATTCTGGGAATAAGCAGTCCCACAGATGTACTGTAGCAACTAGCCTCCTACATACAGTTATATGCCCAGGTAAATATAAATGCTAGGAGAAAACTCTTCACGTTATCTACTACTCCAGGACCCAGCACCTTCTCTCTGTGTTTATTTTTGATGCTCGCACTGCTGATGCATCTTGCCAGTAAGCAGACTGAGCATTCTCACGCGGTTTGTAGTGACACGTTTTGGTCCTCCATGTGGAAAGAAACCTAACCAAATGAAAAATCTAAAAGTTTACAAGCTCATCAACTGATCGGTATAGCTTTACATTCTCTTAAGTGTGCAATACTTTCATGGAATGTATATCAAAGAGGCCACTCATTGGTTTCTGGTCACCTCTGTACTATTTTGTTGAACAACTTATCTTCTAACACTCTGAGTTGGTGAGCAAACTCCATCCAAAAACTTTACAGAAAGACATATCTGCTAATTGGTGCTAAATAACAGACTAATAAAAGGAAACGGTAGAACTCACTAAAAGTAAAGCACAAATGTTTTGAAGAGACTGCACCATGCTGGTCCAAAAGGGGAGCCTTGATGTACAAATTCTCTCTTGTTAACCACAGTTAGCCAATTTTTAAAATTTTTTTTAAAGCAGATCAAACGCAGCTTGGTGTGAATGAACAATCATTTTCAGGATGAGGTTTGGCTAATGATCAGTGTGACTTTCAATCTCATCTGTTAAGCAGTATGAAATCCTAAAACTCTAAATTAATAATTTGACTAGTTCCACAATTGCATTATTTCTGGACAAGTTGCGCTATGACTGAAGTCTTCAGAAAATCTACTAAATAGACATCGTGGTGAGAATATTGTTTTAGTTGCTGTCGAGCCTGAAGTAAAGCTGAAAAGCACAGTATTATATATATTTTTAGATGCGTCGTTTGTTAAAGGATATGCATTTTCACAAGAGCACAAAGACTAATGTAATTTCCACAACAGTTGACAGGTTTTCTGTTTGAGAGGGGAATATTTACAGGTTGTGTAACGTGTTTCCATTAACAACAGGCTGTTCTCATAGAGCCATTTACAGTGACTTGCTGTTATTGTTAGCATTAGCATCTCTAGGCTCGCTGCTGCAGTAGTGTGAGAATTAGCTCCCACTTCTACAGTTTTCAAGTGGAGCCACCTTCGTGTGGAGGTTAGAAATTTCAAACCTTAGCCTAGGGGATCTAGTTACATTTCCATATCTTCCCTTTTAGCTTCCATGCAAATCCTGGTGAGTGATGGTAATTGTACAGCAAGCCGGGGCTGAAAAACATGGGCTGCAGGCTAGCATGCTGCTGAAATGTCTCTTTGAAAGCACTGAGACTTAAACTCCCACACCAGGCTGAAAGAGATGGAAACAGCCTGGCTATAAATTGCACTGCCTCACCCAAAACAGAGAAATCAAAACCTTTGTAGAGACATTAGGGTGGTAATAATGTTTGTCAGAGTCAGAGCAGAGTAGAGGTTATATCCCTAGAAGCATCGTTTTACTGTAGCTAAAGTAACTTTAATCATTACAGGCTACATCCACAGTGTGTACTGTACTCCGTCCAGATATACAGAGCATAATATAAATATTATAGACTGCAGAGCTGGGGTCTAAACAACATAGGAGCTCGGAGCATAAAGATTCTTTGTCATATACTAGCTGCACACTCTCAGCCAATGTCTTAATATTGTTTGAAAGCTACTGTATTATGTTTATGGCTTTGTGTGTGTGTGTGTGTGTGTGTGTGTGTGTGTGTGTGTGTGTGTGTGTGTGTGTGTGTGTGTGTGTGTGTGATGATCTCTCTAACCCCTTTATTTCTGCCTCTGTCTTTTTGTCTTTCTCTTTATCACACACATACCCACTCTTTCCCTCTCTTTGCACATTTTCAGCACTCTGTCCCCAGCACACAGAGTAATAAGCGCCTTGTCGTGGCATTATCATAATAGAGAGCTAATAGTGGAGTAATGGACTGATGCATTAGTGGCATTCTCCTGATATTGCCACCGCACAGTGTCACACATTTTTACATTGTTCCCTGCTGCAACTGATGGATTCAGAGTTATTGCATATGCTTGCAATAAAGGTCATTTTGTGTGTGTGTGTGTGTGTGTGTGTGTGTGTGTGTGTGTGTGTGTGTGTGTGTGTGTGTGTGGTGTGTGTGTGTGTGTGTGTGTGTGTGTGTGTGTGTGTGTGTGTGTGTGTGTGTGTCAGCTGGACAGAGTCATCTTCTGCGTGTTCTTGCCGAAGGATCAGAAGCTGTATGAGGAGAACCTGCCACTCTACTTTCCTGCTGGTGAGTTTCCTTCATATATATGTGCAGCTACACGTATCAGCAACAACATTAAAACCAGTGACAGATGAAGTGAGGAATACATAATGCAATGTGTTGGGAAACCATGGCTCCTGACATATATACAGGATCGGGATCACACATACAAAAAATAGCCATATATTAATGCAACCAAACAGCTTTTAACATTGATTGATTTTGAGAGGTATTCCAGGCTGATGTGTAAATGGCTCTGTGAGAGAACAAGTATAGGGAGGGAGCAGCATGTGTTCAGGGCCTGCAGAGAGAAGGAAAATCCATCCATCCATGAGCTTGTGTTAGTTTGTTCTTATATACATATAGCATTTTAGCCCCAGAAAACCAAGATGGATGCAGTGAGATTGGTATAAAATAGCTATAAATGAGTCCTGAACTCTAGAAATGAGTTAACATTTTGCACTTGACTCATGTCAAGTTTTTTTAGACTTCAGTCAGACAGCCCTAAAGATTTGTCAGCGACCCCTAGGAACCACAGGTCACTGGGGAAAAATGTATATTCCACGACTGGTTGGTGAGTGGTTGATGCTTGTCAAAACACTGACTTGGTGGTCGTGAAATTTAAAGGAACTGCGATACAAACAGCAGATGGGAAGTAACAAAGTGCAAATGCTTTGGTTCTGTACTTAGTAGAATTTTCAGGTATCTGTATTTTACTTGAGTATTTATTTTCCTGACAGCTTGTCTTTGTCTAGCTGGAAAAAACAACTTTGTTTGTATGACACGCCATATTGAAATTATATTTTTTAAAGAAAACATTTTTTTAATTGCAAAAATGTATAAATAAACTCAAGTACAGTCAAAGGCTAAAGTCAAATAAAATAAGATATATATGCGAGCTTAAGGCATAAATAATGTACCTTTGTCTTCTTGGAAGACTTTCTGATGTTAATTGGAGGCAAGTTTTTGTTCTGCTGAAAACAGACATTATGATTGTGTAGACATTAATTAATATTAATGATGATTCAGTGTCCAGTCTAACAGCCCTCGGGGTCAGTGGCTCAGCGTTTAATAGCACTTGTATATTTTTATTGGTTTGTGGGGTTTTTTCTGTTTATAAATATTAATGCAATTTAATTAATAAAACATTTGATATTATGTCACTCAGGGGTTTTCCTGAGTGGACATCAGCGGGGTGGGAGGAGGTGTGTGTGTGTGTGTGTGTGTGTGTCTGACATCATAACAATCAGATTCAGTGTTAAACCATCATGTTTGAGTCGGTGCAGCTTTAACTTTTGGTTTGTGTCGCACTTTTTTATAATTTCACTGCCACTCAGCGAGCAGTTTTTCGAGGGTTTGCAGACAAGTGGAGATCTTCCATGCAAACTATTGGCGATGCACACCCGCCAGTAACCACAGCAATCAAAAAGAGGCATTTAGCGTAGCTCTTTGCAGCTATTTTCACCTGGTGACAGCTGGCAACCTACAGCAACCACTAACCGCTTGGGATTACACACTTTCTCCTAGCAACATGTGTTTTCCAGGTCATCAGTAACCACTGCCTAGGCCTGCATGAATGGAATCTTAGATGCATAGCATAAAGTCTGTGGTCAACACTCGCTTTGGTCATTTTTATGATTTGTTCGATAGTAGTTTCAAAATTCATAAACAGGTGCGTAAGAGTGTTTAAAGAGATCAATTATAACTTCTTGTACTCTGTCTTATTCACCATTATTTTATTAAATCACAATGTTTTGGTCCAACTGACCTTCATTAGATAGAAATTATGGCAATCATTTGTTCAATAACAAAAAAATAAATGCCCCACTTGCAAATTTTAAGCTTTATGTGTGCTAGAGAAAGCAGGTGGTTAATAAGTGGCTAAATAAGAGTAAGTTGTTGAAGACATTCAGCATCATCACATTAACCATTTCCCCCATAAAGACAACATTTGACGACCTCCCCGGTACCCTTAATGACGAGCCTTGACACCTCATTATATATCAATAAAGACACGGTTTGACCATTAGAATAGTTTCTGGGTTTTTCCGAGGGTAGCCGCAGAGGCGGAGACCACCCTCACTAACCTGCAAACCCAGGCATTTTCTTCTAGAAGCAGAAATATGACAGAAAGCACTCAAGTCAGAAAAAACATTGCAAAGGTTACTCCTAGTGGACTTTCAAGGGGTATAGAGTTAAACACAGGAACTTGATTTTGGTCACACAGTCTTGATTTATAGCCTAACATTATTGTGGTGAGCTACTTTCTTTTGCATTTAAGTTTCAAAAATCACAAAAAAGGGTGTCAGTTTGTAGAGATTTGCTGAACCAAACATGGTGGCATTAAAGCTTTCCCACAGAGCCTTTTTTTCTGATACTCATAAAAAAAGAAAAGCCTATTGATAACTCCCACTGGCATTTTGTCAAGCAACCAAGATGATGCCCGCTTTCAGTTTTTTGCCCTATAAAAAGCATAGTCAGTGTGGCACTTTATGGATAACACGCAGGTTGTACTTTTATCTCTGATCACATGAGTCACCTGAAATATGAATGAATGTTACAAACAATCTCTACGCTCATGAGCTGCCTTATTATAAAAGTTCTCACTGTTGAGCTTCCTTTTAACAGGAAGGACCTTGAGAGTAATGGCTGTGTGTGTGTGTGTGTGTGTGTGTGTGTGTGTGTGTGTGTGTGTGTGTGTGTCCCCTGCAGCTTCTTTGTTTTGTATTTTGATACAAACATGTCTTTTCATTCTGTATCCTGCCTTCATTTCTTCGTCCACCACTTTAGCCTGACCTGTGGCAGCGACCCGTTGTTCAGGTAACCATCGTGGTGTTGTGCGTCAACATGTGTGGTTTCTTCTATCAACTTAACTGCATTCAGTCTGTTTGTCGACACGCAGTCTTAACCCCAGTGCAAAATGTAAATTACGTGTCACGGAGGGGAAACTCTGACATTTCCTTCAACCGGCACTCGTCCCATTTTGCAAATAAATTGCTCATATTTAGACCTCAGTTAAATGAAAATGGCATTCTGTGCATTCCTGAGTACAACGGCTGGCCTCAAGCTAGTTAGTGTTCGAAATGATGCAAGGAAAAAAGAAATGGGCTTTGTTTTTTTTTGTTTTTTTCCTGCAGTGGTGAAAAGGGTCTGATTTAAATGAAAAATAACAACCACTTTTTAAGCCTCCAAGGTGCCTTCTTGAGTCATGCCTCACCTGCTTTCCAAAACAGACTGAAAGGAAAGTGTTGTGCCATCGCTACAGATTGATCTATTTGGTTAAACGAAGTTTTGTAAATAAGTAAAATGTATTTAATGTTATGTTGGCTTTAGCTGTGACATGATGACTTTACCCATTTGTTTTGATTACACTTGTGATTTATGGTGTTATATTGCCAAGCAGTCTGGCTCCTAAGCATGATCAGTCATTCACTCAATTATTCAAATTAAGCATCGGTATTACAACTGCAGCCTTAACCCCTAATGTCTTGCTTTACCGCTGCTATAAATCAAACTCACCTCTTGCCTTCGGAACATTTTGAGAGAGAGGTCTTAACAGTCGTATGCTTTCTGGTTTTGTAATTTTTAATGGGTGTTATGTGGCTTGGGACGCAGGTGCTACCAAAGCTGCTGAAAAGAAATCCAACAAATTATCAACCGCAGGTCTTTTGTACGAGTGAAGCCGTGCTTTTGGGTTTGACAGAATTTAAATTTAAATGAGAGCTTCAGATGGAGCCGGGTCACTCTAACACTCATAATAGAGATGCATGGCAGAAATATTAGTGAAATTAACTGAAATCAGGCAAACTTAATCACCACAGAAAAAAGTGAACCAGAGCAGGATTGCAGTGTTTAATTTTAAATGAAAATGAGATCATGAAATTGTCTCAGCGCAGGAAAGTCAAAGCAGAGAAATGCTGCTGGCGCTGGAATATATCACCCTTTGTAACATTAATATGCGTTCTGCAGTTCAACAGTTCAAGAAAACATACAGCATACATGTCATTTAACATTGTTTTCTCACCTTTGAGTGCTTTTAGACGTGTTGGCAGCAGCTGAGTTCTACATAAAGAAACAAATGTAGACACAGAGAGAGTTTTCTGTTTTTCACAAACATGGCCTGACAGCCAAGGCGTTAAAGAGGAGTGGGAGAGAGAAGAGAAGAAGCCTGCTTAACCTAAGAGGAGAATCCAATCAACACTGCAGCCTTATCTCTTATATGAACTCACACACCGGGTCAAGAGTCTTAATCTTTTTTAAAATCTTTTTTTGTGAACAGATTTGACCACTAGCCCCCCGAATCTGAAAGTATTTTTCATTTATTAAAGTTCAAGGAGGATCAATTGCTAAAAATAATGAGATCTCAAAATGTGATGAACTGCTTTTTATAAGCATTCACTGGCCACTTCATTAGGTACCCGTTGCAAGCACTGGATTGAACCCTTGCTTTCGTTCTTGGGAGCATAGCGTGAACAAGGTGTTGGAAACACTGCTCAGAGACGTCACACAGTTGTTTCAGATTTCTTAGATGCACATTGATGACACGTATCTCCTTTTCCATAACATCTTAATGATGCTGTATTGGATTGATATTTGGTGGCTGTGGAGGCCATTTGAGTACAGTCATTGCTATGTTCAAGAAGCCTGTTTGAGGTGATTTCAGCTATATGACATGACACGTCCTGCTGCATCAGAAGCCATCAGAAGATGAACTCAAAGTGCTTTCTGCTGCTGTCTAAGTCTCATTCACCTAAGCATTCATACAACAATTTTATCTGCGCCTAAGCTCTTTCTATTGTTCACACATGTTCACACTCCAGTTGATGCACTGGAAGCAACTCTGGGCTTCATATCTTGCCAAGGATACTGTAGCATTTTGACTGCAGGAGTCAGGGATCAGGGAGCAATGCTTGGGCAGACTGTGATATTTGAATGGCACTCATTCTATACTAAGGGGCCCAGCACACCTTTACACCACCAACAACAGCCTGGAAACCAGGATGTATACACGATTTAATGTTGTTTTTGAGCCTACCATGTAAATTTTACAGAAGAAATCAAGAATCATCAAGCATGACAAATTTCGGTGAGCTCATGTGAATTGTAGCATCAGTTTCCTGTTCCTATTTGACAGGAGTGGCACCCGGTGTGGTCTTCTGCTGCTGTAGCGCATCCATTATGGGTTCAGAGATGCTCTTCCGCATACCTTGGTTGTAACAAGTGGTTATTTGAGTTACTGCTGCCTCAAAGCCATTATTCTCCTCTGACATCTGGTATTAACAAGACATTTTCTGCCAGAGAACTGCTGCTCACTGGATATTATCTTAACTTCAAACCCCTCTCTTTGAACACTAGAGATGGTTGTGTGGGAAAATCCCAGCAGATCAGCAGTTTCTAAAATACTCAGACAAACCCCAAAACCCTGCTACGCTCAGTGACTTGAATCACCTTTCTTCCTCATTCTAATGCTCAGTTTGACCTTAGCAGGGTCACTACATGCCCAACTGCACTGAGTTGCTGCCATATGATCAGCTAACTATCTATTTATGTCAACCCTCAGTTAAACAGGTATACCTAATAAAGTGTCCGGGGAATGTAGATACAAAATATACAAAAAACAATGTATTTGCAGATAAAAGGGGAAGCAGAAGTGGATACTTCCTGCTAAAACGTTTAATGCGCAGGTGTGAGTTTATTTTGAGAGAATCCCACATACGCCCTTACGCTGACTAATACCCAGTAGAGCATCATCAGTGTATTTATCCACTGCTGAAAATGGTACCCAATAAACAAACTATTTATTCTTGTTTGAGTAACGTTTGCTAAAAAGCTGTTATACATTGCCTTTAAAAGTAAAACCACAAGACTAAATATATATGACTATAACAGGCAGTGAACAGTAGTCAGAGTACTGAGCAAAAAGCACCGACCTTCCGCCTCAGCTACCTATGTAGAAAAATAAGCTACAAGGTAAAATCACAGCAGCCCTTTATTTCTGTTTGGCCGGAAGGAAAATGTATTTTTATGTCTAAATCCAGTTTGTCATCAGTTTGTGGATATGTTTAGAGAGACGTTTAGTCATCAGCCACAACAAATCAAGGCAGAAACTCCAGTTCACTTCAGGCCAGTTTCGAAAATGAGTCAGTTCTCATCGACTCCTGTTTAAAATAAATAAATAAATAAAAAATGTTCTGCCTAAAAAAGGAGCAAAAAAATTTTTGGTCATTGTAGCTTTGAGAAACAAGTAGGTGGCAACAAAAGTGGCTGAAGGCACTGTCTTATAGCGATCACTTTTAAACCAATTGTTTTATTTTGGAGCATTTTAATGCAGTTATCTGACAAATAATATAGCCTGCCCAAGTATTTTATTTCAAAGCTAGCACTTTTTTAGCATGTATCTCTTTGTTTGGATGCATCAGCTTGTGTCTCAAATATAAAACATGACAGCAGCAGAAACTCAGAGTTTAAAAAGAAAACTCCACAAAGTAGTGGTGAATATTTTTATTTGCAGTCTGTGCACCAGCTATTTTCTCCCTGAGTAGCTAAATATTCTGCTAAAATACCAGACGAAAGAACAAAAATGGATAAAGACTGAATACGCGATTCATATTTTCCAAATATTTTCCATTTTTTTTCCTTTCCACCTACATTTTCACTTTGATGACCTTGTGAGGTCAAATTATATCACTGTGCTGTTTACAGCTTGTTCCTCTACCCACAACTGGCCAACAAATATGTAGTTATTGCTTTACAGGCTAAGTGTTAAAGAATGATCAGTGCGTACAGCTCAGAGCATTAGAGGCTGTTTTTTCTTCCTATTTCTTGTAGCAGTAGCTTCCACTCAGCAAGCCAAAGTCTCAAACTGCGGCACAGCCGGTCAGATGCCTGAACCATGAAATCAGCACTTTCACATCTTCACCCTGGGTCAGCTGACCGAAAAGGTTATTTTCCCCCCAAAAATCCAGGTGTGCCCCTTTAAAAAAAAAAAGTCTGAGCGAGCTGCTGGTGTCTTTCTCCTCTAATGGATGTGCAGCAGATTTGGTAGCAGTAGTGGTGCTTGGCTGTTAGATGGACCGGAACTGTCTGTCAGTGTGACAGAGCTGCTGCAGGCAGGCCTCCAAGTCTCCACTATAAACCTTATGTGTCTCCAACACCTGACACTACCTACGCTGGCTGTCTGTCTGATGTGTATGATTGTGTGTTTGCATGTTTTGAGTGCGTCCTTAGCCATGTTGGGCTGAGAGTGACTAAGCCTCGCTAACAGATCCCTCTGAAGCAACCAGACGCTCCAGAAGCCAAAATGCTTTTAACCGCTGCATGACCAAGGTAAAATGTTCCCCCCACCGTGTTTTACATGTTTCCATTTCCTCTCTCCCTCTCTCTCTGTCTGCTCCCACAGAGGCCACAGTCAAGAGCAAACTCTAAGAGAGTGGATTTGTCAGATTTGGTTGCCGTGGATACACACCGCTACACTCACATCCAGATTCTTTCTCCTCCTCCTCCTCCTCCTGTTTGCCATTGACGCAAATCAAGACCATCTTCATCAGGAAGATAAGTTGCAAATGGGTGATTGCCTTTTTGAAGTGCTACGGTTCTCCTGCAGATGTTGTCGGAGGAGGTGGTTTTCTTTTTCTCACTTCTTCCCACTAATGGCTGAGGTTAGGAGCGGTGTTATGATGACTGTGTGAAATGAGGCAGATAATTCTTATGAAAAATGGACTGTGCGTACTCGTAAGCTTCACTCTACCTGTGATCAGCGGCAGCTTCGCATCAGGCTTACGTCCCCCACCCTCCCGATTTCTCTCTTCCCTGTACTACAGCATTTGAATATTAAAATATCAGCATGTGTGCGTGATTGTAACACACATGACAAAAGCTTATTAAAATGAATCTGAGCTTTGTGTGAGCGCAGTGATTATTTCTCTGGTTATGAAAGAGTCGATGAGTCGGGGCGCCATTTGAGAACACTTCACACCAGTATTTCCTTCTCCACTCTCTGGCAATTCTTTGTGAAAGAGATCGAATAAACTGGAAGATGAAGTCAAACCTTTCTGGAGGAAGTGTGTGCTGCTACTGCCATTTGATATGTCCTGCCGAGAGAGCGCAGAGTGGGAGACTTTATAAATACCCTCTATTTTAAACGTGTGCAATTTTTTTTAAAGGCAAGCGTTCAGACACCCTTTAAAAGATTATATTGTTATAGTCTAGCCTACTATACTCATATACTCTAGTAAGCAAGCTCACAGTTGAATACCAGTTGAATACTGGAAGGAAAGACGGAGCTACCAGCTTGATTATGAATATTCATCACACAGCAAGTTCCTTTTCTGAGGACGTGTTTGACACTTTTTTGAGCCTCTTATTGAGCTCGCTACAGTCTCTGTAAAAGCTGAAACCAAAATTCCCATCAACAAGTGATTTGATGAATCTGTTCCACAAGTTATCTCCAACCTGAAGATTGGGACCCACTGTGCAATCTTAACTCATATTTTAAACACAGAACATATCTACATATCAAACGTTAGTCTGTTTAAGTTACATGAAGGCAGAAGCTGATACATTTTAAATCATGGGTAATTTTTTTCTGATAATAATAAAGACTAGCAAATGTAGGAAAAATCATGAACGTCAGTGACTCGTGTTTAATTGAAATAGCTTCACTGAATTAATCTTGCAGAATGTCAAACGGTGCTAATATTTAATTATCACAGAGCCCTTTTTCTCATGAATGACTAACCAGAACAAATTTGACAAAAATATTTCACTTGGTAATCATACAGTACTGTGCAAAAGTCTTGAGTCATCCCTCATTCCTTTATGTGTAGCTAGAAAAATGGAAACTAGGTGCTGAAACATATGCAAACGGGGATGGAAATACAGTAAAAACAGTCTGCACAAGTCTATCGAGCTTGAAAGCTAATAATTGTTCTCAGTTCTCAGGTCCAGGCTTCTTGAAAGACATTCAAAGCTCTTCTCCAGATGTTGGCCTCATCTTTTTCTTCAAAATGATCCCAGATTGCTTCAGTAACTTTGAGGCTCAGACTCCAGGGAAGCCAATCCATGACTGATAGTGTACCACTGTAAAAGACTGAGTCGACTACAAATCAGTGAAGCCGATCGAGAAATGCCTTAAACCTGCATTCTTGCTAAGCAGAGCCGCCAGAGTACGACTCCACTGGCGGAAAACAGAAGTCTGATTAAGTTGAAGCCTGTGACAAATACTCTCATTTTCACTTAATTTATGACCTCAGATGATGTTTTCCCAATAAGTGCTTTTAGTTAGAAGTTTCTACAAGTTCAGTTTAATATAGCAAGATATTTACTTTACACGTTGTATATACACATATATATGTCATGTTTATGGCCATTACACAGAAAGTATGTTGCAAAAAAATACCGAGACAAAATTCAGAATTTTCCAGATCCGTACTTGCCATGTCAAGTGTACTCTATATAAACTGAACGTGTTTCTCAAGAAAAGATCCACTGTGTGATCGAGATGATGAGCTCGTCCTGATGTTTCTAAACAAGAAAATGGTTTCATTCTGGTTTCATCGGATTCTCACAACAAGGCGGCGGCAGCAGAATTTCATGGTTTGATCCAGGAGTTGAATCACCGTATCACAACTGCTTTCAATAATTTCACAGAGCCGACTGACCCAAAGTAACATACAGTACTGTTATTTGACTTTTTCCTTATCATTCTATATTCAGTACTGGTGCTCTTTTGAGCATCGAGTTCATTTGTTGCAAATGTGTGGTGTCCCTCAGTTTCCGGTCAGACTCACGTGTTGCTCATGAAATCTCGCTCCAAAATCCCTGGTAAAACTGGTAACAGCCACAATGCTCGGGATCTTGTCACAATGGTCACATCCATCTCTTTTATACAGTCTGTGCTCTAAAGGTGCTACATAGTCTTCTCTGTAAGCCAGCTCCCTCTGTCTGATACTGAGCAGGTAGTCTGCTGTTGGCTTTCCATTTTCTCTGAAGGTTAGGGAGCTGCTAAACCTCAAACTGAGGTTGGTAAGCGGTGAAGACAAACTGGTCACTACACAAAGAGATGAAACTAATAAAACTGCAAAATAAAGCAGTGCTACAAAAGTATACAATAATTATCTGAAGGTTCATCATAAGTGACCACTTTCTCATTTTCACATTGTTTTTACACTATAACATTTGATAATTGCTGCTGTGAAACTGCAGATAATTTAAGGTCCTTTTGCTAAAAATGTTTTGTTAGTTTGAGTCTTGTGTTCAGTTATTATTATGACTAAAACATAATTTTTCCACCTTATATCTTCCCTTTTTTGTATAGCTACAGCACCTACTCTTTTTTTGTTTTTTTTTAACCAACAACCATCAATTATTTCCCCCTCCTCCTTTCTCACTGTATGCTGTCCAACCTCCCTCCACCCCGTCTGCCTGTCAGAACCCACCATATGCGTATTTCTGCAAACGCCATCATGCTTCTCCCTGCAGCGCATCTGTATGAATTGTTGCGGGATGCGGCCGTCACGTGTCGGCACAACACAGGCGGTGATTTGTGTGAAGCAAAACGAGCGTTTAGCGAGCCATCGTCCCACCCCCACAACTTTCATCAGCCAACAACCATCTTTATTGATTTCAAACAGTCTGCCGTGATGGCGCAGACGCACAGGGGGGGAGCGGGGAAGGAAATAAACTACAAAGAATATCAACAGGAAATTGGGAGAAGACCGCCCTTTTTTCTATAAAATCCTCATCTGTCACATAGGGGACTGGTTTTTTGTTTTTGGGGGGGTTTTTCTCGTCTCCTGTGCTCTTTGATTCCCTCCCTGTATGGGCCTCGGTTTCTTCTTCCTCCTTCATCCTTCTCCTCATGTCTCTTCCTCGCTGCTTTACTCTACAGGATGGTGGGGGAAAAAATAAACAGATGGAAGAGGGAGGGATAAAGAGACAGAAAGAGGAAGGATGCAAGTGTTCAAACTGAGAGAGGGGGAGGAAAAAAGGTGGGGATGAAGGGATGAGAGGATGCAGAGCCGGCGGGGGGATGGAGCGGATGGAGGGAAGAGGAGGGGACGGAGAGCCTGATGAACTCATCTAAAGGCGCTCTGGGTTTTTTAATAAGCAGCAGACTGTGAAGCTACTCTCCAACCAGTCACTCTGAATAATGAGAGAGAGAGAGAGACGCGCGCGCACACACATGCAGGATGAGAGGATGAAAAGACAACCAGACTCATTATCTTGCGACCAATTTTCATCACTGTCCCGTCAGTAATCTCTCTCACGGACTCGAACAGTCCTCAGCTCTGTGTGAGATGACAGATGAAGACCAATTACGGTAACTGTTTCGTTAACTTGAAGGCTGATTCCCTGCCATCTTCCAGAACATACACTGATAATCCTGTTGGCCCTAGAAATTACCCACTGCTCACAGCCCACCAACACACCTGTGTGCCTGTGCGTGCGTGTGTGTGAATGTAATACCTTTCCTGGCGAACCCCTTTGTAGTTAAAGAGCTGTGGACATGCAAAAAACCCTGCACTCTCGGGTGTTTAATAAAGAATCATTTCCGGCTGACGACTGCTGTTGCTGACTTTGTTTGATGCACACTAATAGGTTACTGCTTCGTCAACATTTTTTTGGCACCTAAACATATTTGGTGCTGATCTGCTTGGGTTTCTTCCAGCGGGGAGAGACGCAGAATAAACTTCAAATTGCTAATCTGTCTTTTCATTTATTGCTTTCTCGTTGTATCACTTTAATCGAAGCGGCTCCTACTCAGAAACTGATTTACGCTGAAAAGCTTTTTGTATGTAAAACAAGGCAAAGTTTGCTGAATGGTTTTTATTGCAGCAAGCTCTCTTGATCGCGCTGCTCATTGTGCTTTTCCGCGTCTTGGCGGTGCAGTAAATCGCGGCGTGAGGACATAATTCATTCATATGCAGATTTTTGTGATAAATGCACAAAAAAATGTCAGTTGTCATGTAAGGTGACACAAAACTCTCTGAGTGCATGTGGAAGGTTATTTGTGTAGCACTACTGAAAACTAAAGTTACACACTGCCTCATGATAAACTCTATCCCACATAATGGGACCATTTAAATCAGTCATCCTGGGAAAGTTTTCATTAACATCTCTGGCTTAAATAAAGTGGGCCCATTGTGATTTTCCTCAATTCCGATCACATTTATATTCATGGTAAAAAGAAAACTAGTCTCACCTTCACTGCTCTCAAACAAAATCAGAGGATAAAAGCCTCCAGGTGCTGCTAACCAAATTGACTTGCTTAGCTGATCATCTGCAAGTGTGAGCGCCTCTATAAAAGCAGGAGTTGTGTCACTTTGCTGGTCTGGAGCATTCAGGTGTGTTAACACAGTGCCTAGGAGGAAGACATCAGCCGTGATTTTAGAGAAACAATCGTTGTTGCCCATCAGTTTGGGGAGGGTTATAAGGCCATTTCCAAACAATTTAAATCCATCACTCTACAGTGAGACAGATTATTCGCTAGTGGAAAACATTCAAGAGGGCTGCCAATCTTCTCAGGAGCAGATGGCCATCAAATTCACCCCAAGGTCAGCAATGCTCAAAGAAACTAAAAAATACACAAGAGCTATAACTCAGACTCTAGCTTCAGTTAGCATGTTAAATGTTAAAGTTCATGACAGATCAATTAGAAAAAAAGGCTGAAATAGTTTGGTTTGTTTGGAAGGGTTGACAGGATAAAGCCTTTTCTTTCTAACACTTCTGTAACAATGTCCTTTAGATAGAGGAGACCAAAGTGGAGATGTTTGTCCATAAATACAACATAGCAGCACAAACACCTCATACTAACTGTCAAGCAACGTGATGGAGAGGGATGATTGGTTTGTTTTTCATGCATCAGTCATTGAGTCAACTATAAACCCCCTGCACCTCCTGAC